TTAGAGAAGTTACTATGGACACTTGTAAACAACGATCAGAGAAATCTAAATCCGATCGTAATTCAAAAACAGAAAAAACGCAAACAACAAAACCAACAAAGTCATCAACAAAGTCGGCTGCGGCATCCATGACATTAACCATGACAACATTATCTTTAGATACACCAGTAAAAACAGAACCATCGGTTACATCATCCTTTAAAGCATCACCGCAATCTGAACGGGAGACATCAATAAAAGAATATCCACAGCAACATTTAATTAAAGAATGGCGTTGGGCTCATTATGGTCAAACGGAAACACGTTCAGTTCATAATGATCAATATAAAGTAGCACCTCAATCACCTAAAGCAATGCAAGGAGTCGAAAAGATTCCATCAATCAACACTCATCCGCCACAATCTACGCAATCTACGCAATCTACGACTGCATCATTTCTTCCTCCTCCTCCTCTTGATATTCCTATTTCCTCAAATTTCACTAGATATGATAAGAATGTATGGAGTTTAGTTAATGGATTAACCAATTTGTAAATACAATCTATTAACTATTGGTAATGAGGGTCGAATTCGAATTCGTGTTTTGAATTCGAATTTATTATATATATATATGTAGTTTCTTTTTTTTTCTTTTTTTTTTTTGTTTCATTTTACAATTCATAGCATTCAAATATTAATGGTGTGCAAAATGGTATATAATCACTTATCGTTAGAACCACACTTCTTTTTACATATTAATTTTTTTGTTTATTTTATTGTTTATTTTGCTTTTGGTATTAGTGATATCTATTATATATTTAGGTAGCATAAAAAGAAAAAAAAAAAACGAAAAAAATGGAAAAAAAAACAAGTTTTCTAAGTTTTTTATTGTTGCATCCTAAAAAAAAATTTTTTCTTTTTGGCTGTAAAAGGATTTGGCAATAAAACTCTTTTGTAATTGGAAATAATAATTAAATAAACAAAGAAAAACAGCTTAAAATATTTAAACACTAGTGTTCTAAATTTTTCTATCGTTATCTCAAATGCTTCTTCATAGCAAGAATAATTCGATAAATTCAGAAACTAGGTAACGCGAGATGTATGATGATCCGATTTACTCCGTACGTGACTTTATCTTGTGTGATAACCATAAATCGAGATACGTGGAGGTACACGCGATATTAAACCCCAAAAGATCAGTGTAACATATTATCTTTTCAAAGAAATGCCGACAACCCGAGATGATGTTGAAAAAGTAAGTAGATCTTTCTTTAATAATGATATCAATTTTCTTAATTTGGCTTATACTATCGATTGCTCGACGGATTTGTTTTCCTGATAATAAAAACTTTGTCTAATTCACGTGTTAATAATTAAAATTAGTAAAGCATTCTTTTCTGTATTAGTAAAGAATAAATAAAATTATAACCTGCTACAATTCGTTCTGATAATCGATAACGAATAATGGTTGAATGGTTGAATTAGCTTGTTCGTTACAGTATACTTTACAGTATGCTTTACAGTATGCTTTACAGTATACTTTACGTTGTCTGCCTACATCAAGTTGTCTACATTAAATTAATTGTCTACATTAAGTTGTCTACATTGGTTGTCTACATTGGTCATCTGCATTAGTTAGTTATCTGCATTAGTTATCTGCATTAGTTAACTCGTGAATTTTGCAAGAACAATTAACATTACCGATAATATACACATTAATATACGTATCCAATGTTCCACATCCCATCCCATCCTACGCTTAAATCTTCTTCAAGTGATATGATACTATGATGCTACAAGGTAATTATATAATTATATTTCTTTTTACATCATCTTACCTATACCGAGCACATGTACTTACGACGATATATACTTTATTGTGCGTACATACATGATACAAAATAATGGGTATCACTTTGTAAATAATGTTTGACATTCGTAGCACTATGACTAGTTATGACTAGTTTATTTAATATATGCTACTTAACCATATATAATATTTATATAATGTTACATATCTATTATATATTATCGTTATTATATTTTGTATAAACTTATTCAATTTTCCGACACGTACCAGTACGCGTGTGCATTATACAGTACATATCAATTTACAAATTAAACAAGATATTTTCTTAAACAAGATATTTTTAAAATAGTTATTTTAAATTTATTTTAAATTAGTTAATGATGATTCACCTATCCCAGCTAGCAAATGATTTCCTACATACGGCACATATATCCTTAAATCGTTTAATGTATTCTAAATAACACTTCATATGTAATAAATGGCCACACCCCGGATTAATAATCATCCTACCTCCACGTATTTCTAATGATTCTAGACATAACAAACATTCTTCTTGCTCATCATTCTTATTGTCTGACTTTAATTCTGAAAATACTTGTCCCGATGAAGAAATTGTTGATCGATTGACATGCAGTGATGAGCGCAAGGCTTGGAGATATTCGAGTCCTATATATTGTTAAAGGTAATGATCGTTGGTTGTTGACATAATTTAGAACGTTCAATCTTATTATAATTTGATTATCTATATTCCAGTATTTCATTGTTTTAACGTTAATGTTACATACCTAAATATATCCCCTGTATTTACACATTGATTATTCAATTCTTCTATTTGTATCTGATTATGTCGATTTCTATGTAAAGTTATTAAAGTATCGTTATTGCCAGGTAAAAAATTCGGTTCAACATTAAAATTATCATCATAATCAGCTGACGTATCAGATATATCAGACGTATCAGATGTCATAACCCTAACATTATTCTGACTGTATGATGTAGAAAGTAAAGTTATTAATGGTGTGATGGATTGGATTGAATTAAAGGTGATCGTGATCGATGTGAATGATTATTTCTTGAAGTGGTCGTTGACTGACTTTTCTGTAAATTCCTATAGATAAATCGTTTAATTAGACTAGTTAATTGATGAATTGTTGGTGGTCGTTGTTCGGTTATAGGTCGTCTTGAATCAACATTTATAATATCGTACTGTATTGTCATTCACATCTCGTCGAGATATATGTATAAAAGAAATATTGTAGTGCAGATGCTGCAATCATGACCCGTCGGCAGAGTTTGCAAGCCCATCAGCGGGTATTGAACCTACGACTGCTGGCAACAGCCGCAAATCAATACCACTCTACTACAATTGGTAATATGCAAAAATTTTTAATTGTCCTATCCTTGTGTATTACATTGAGATAAATCGCGTGTATTTTCTGGACGATGAATTGGATAGATGTTTCGAATGCTGATTCTTGTAGCAAACATTTGCTGGATTGTCGAGAGTTAGAAAGATAAAACAAGATAAAAAAAAGATCATAAAAACTTTTTTTCGATAGGCTCTTATCTGCAATTCATTTCCTGACATCTCATTAATCTTAAAATTTCTTTTCAATGTTTCTTTTCCAGCCATTTCCTTAACCATTCAAAAAACCATTATTAAAATTATTATTATGATGCAATGATTACATTATATTTGGATAGTAATCTTTTTTAATCTGGAGTACAAATTATATTACCTATAATACAAATTTTCAGATGTCCCGCTTCAGATGATTCGGATTGATACAATCCGTCATTGAATGATGGTCAGATTTTCTTGCGGTATAAATATTAATAATCAATTGATTATAAAGTAAGGTCACCTACACTGCAAGAGACAGGGCATATCATAGTATACGCCGGTCATTTAATAAGTGTCATTCTTGATTCTTATTAATTTAAAATTTTATTGGCTCACTTTATGTCTATTGTTAAACTAAAATATTCGTACTAGTAAATTTGATGTATCAAAAAAGATACTTCAAACAATGGGCAGTAAATGACCGGCGTATACTATGTGTAGCTGGCAAAAGATCCAATAAGGATTTGCCAAGAACTCTCGTTTCATGTTAAATTACCAATCTATAATCGTTTCCCTGATTTATTATATTGATTGTACGTACGTACCATATTTTTTTTTTTTTGTATACTTTCCTAAACTCTTACTTTATGCATAATCTTTGTCATCAAAAATAAATAAAAAAGCAAATCATATAACCGTTATTATTATTATTAGATTATTAAATTAGACTAATGCTAAAATCCCTAATTAGTCTTTCTTATTGTTACAAATCTAGTTAATTTCTCTTGATATCTAATCTACAATGTGTTATAGCTTGATTGTACATCTGATAAAATATGCAATACTGTCCGTTGTTTCATCATTAAAATAAGAATTCAAATTAGAAAGTGCTCTCTTTCCTAATATGCTAATGAATTATTAGTTATCTAAATTTGTATTATCCAACAGTTTAGTTCTTACGTAGCATCCGAGAAAATTTTTGCTTATTTCGGTTATTAAGTACTGTAATAGGTTAGTTCGTTATCGATACGTATAACCTTTTTTAGTTTCCTTTTTTAGTGTCCTTTTTTAGTGTCCTTTTTTTAGTGTATTTCATAAAAGACTCGTTTGTCGCGATTTCGCGGCTGATCCGGAAAAATCCAAATATGGCCGGAATTATACTTTCAATCACGTGAAATTTCCAATCTTCGCATGATTATGACAAAGTAACTTTGCAGTTAGGAGCCCTTAATGTAGATCTGGGATCTATAATTGTATTTTAGACCGGGACATCTTGAAATATAATCGGTTAATAAATGGTTAAATAAATGGTTAATAATGGTTTTATTTTGTTTTTTCCTTAATATAACATATATGTATATCGATGTTTGTAGTTAGCTCTTATATTTAGATTAACCTTCATAAAAAATACTAGAGTTTAGAACCGGGTTATAGTAAACCGGGTCACCCGTGTCAAAACGGTTCAACCGGGTCAAAAATTTACAA